AATTTAACATGGCCAATCCACCTAGCCTGCACATCTTTGGACTGTGGCAGGAAACCGGAGCACCCAGAGGAAACCCACGCAGACACAGGGAGAATGTACAAACTCCACACAGACGGTCACCAGAGGGTGGAATCAAACCTGGGTCCCTGGCACAGTGAGGCAGCAATGCTAACCACTGAGGCACCGTGCCACCCCAGGTTATTTCTGCTAGTGTTCTTAATGTATACTAGATACCAGTACATCACAATTCCACTGGGCATTTTACAGCCTTCTAGCCTCAAAATCAAGCTAAACAATGTTGTAACATGGACCCCCATTTTCAACACCAACCCTCAACAGCAACTTTGATGATTATTGTTCCCATTTCTGCCACCTCCAGACTTAAGTTTTGTTTTTTTACTTGTCTGATTGCCCCGAGCTCTCACCTACAATTTTATTATTTAATATTTCCATCCTATCACAGACCTTGCCTTTTGTTCTTCTCTTTCCTGGATGCACTTAAAACCTCAACTTTCGCCAGCTTGGGCAGTCAATAACCTGAAACACTAACTGCTCTGTTCTCCAAATTCACTTCAATTTTCAAAAGGTATTTTAATGAGGTGTCACACAAATGCTAATCTACAAAATTAACATTCATAGAGTTATAGTAATGCAAGCATGGATGGAAGGCTGATACAAGAAGCAGGGCAGGATAGGCAGGGTCTCAGAGATGGAAGGATTGGAGTGTTGTGTCAAAAGGATCTCTGCTGAAGCTTCAGCTATTTATATTGCAGTCTACATTAACGATTTTGACAGAGATCAAGAGCAATTCCTTTAAATTTGCAAACGATACAAAAGGTATGTGGGGATGGAAATATGAGAACACAAAAGATGCTACAAAAGAAACAAAATTAAATGACTGTCCAACAAGAAATTCAAGTAAGTTCATATTGTGAAGTGTAAGGTTATTCAATTTGGTTATATTAGGATATTTCAAAAATAATTTTTTGAAAAAGGATGGCACTTGCAATGTTGATATTTGGGAGACTTAGGTGTGCTTGTACAAGGAATATAAAAAGTTATGAAGATACAGAAAGCAATTAGAAATGCAAATAGAACCTTGGCTTCTACTGCAAAGGGATTGGTGTATGAGAATAAGGAAGTATTGCTACAGTTCTACAATGATGTGGGCTCACTAAAACTTTACAGTTATGATCAAAATTTCCATGAAAGAATATGCTTGTCTTGGAAGCAGTAATAACAAAGGCTAAATTTATTGGTTCCCAGAATGAATGGAATGTCATGGAATAAGAGGCTGGGGTTATACTCTCTACAGTTGAGTAGAGAGAGGTGATTCAATACAAACACAGAAGATTCAGAAAGAACCTCAATATAGGCAAAGATTGTTTCTCCAGGCTGGGGTATCTGCAATATTGGGGCACCACCAAAGGCAGGTTTTTGGGAATAAAGTTGGGGGCTGGGTTTGGTTGGGATGCTCATAGGAAGGTCAGTGCTGACTCAATGGGCCGAATGGTCTCTTTCTCCACTGTGGGGATTCTATAGGACATGTAGTTTCAATAAGACCTCAAATTACGAGGTAAGTCAATTAGAACTGAAGTGAGGAGAATTTTCTTTGCTAGAGGTTGAAAGTCTTTGGAACTGATTCCTCCAGAGGGCTATGGATGCTCCAATGAGTACATCCAAGACTGAGATTGACAGATTTTTGACTTCAGAATCAAGTGATATGGGAAGCAGGTTGGAAAATGGAGTTGAGATCCTTTAGCAATTATTACATGGAATGACAGAGCAGGAAAAAGTGTGAATGGTCCAATTCCTGTTCTGGTCTCTTTTGCTCCCTACAGATGCTATCTGACCAAATTATTCCCAGCATGGTCTAATTTTTCAGATTTGCAACATCTGCATTATTTTGCTTTTGATAACTACGCCAATCTTAAATATCAGTACTTCTACCACCACATAATTAATATGCAGGAAGGAAAGTATGTCACTAACAATTTTAAAATGGTTACAGTAAACAATCATAACCAGGAACTATACAACTATTTAATAAATACTAAATGGGAAAAGTAAAACAAATGTACTAATAGAAAATGTTAATAAACTATTATGTCGCAGCTAACCCTCAAGCCAATAACCCTTAAACCAACAGGAAATTTATCCAAAAAAAAAAAATCACCTTTATTACACCTTCACTGGTACTGGGAGAGATATTAAATGAATACTTTGCTTCAGTTTTTTCTGTGCAGAAAGAAATGGAGGCTAGAAGACGGAGGGAAATAAATACTGATGGTTTGAAAACAATCCACATTATAGAAGAGGAAATGCTGGTGGTCTTACCATGATAGAAAACATAAATGTGCATAAATCTCTAGGACCTGATCAAGTGTATTCCAGGACATTGTGGGAAGTTAGGAAGGAAATTGCAGGACCTCTAGCATAAATATGTGTAGCATTTATAACCACGGGTGAGGTGCCAGAGAACTGGAGGATTGTTAATGTTGTGCCTTTATTTAAGAAAGGGCATAAGGAGCAGCGTGGGAACTATAGACATGGGAGTCGCAGATGTTACTGTAAGATAGGATTTACATGCATTTGGAGAGGCAAGGAATGATTAGGAAGGGTCAGTATGGTTGTGTGAGAGGGAAATCATGTCTCACACACTTGAATGAGTTTTTTGAGGAAATAACCAAAGAGATTGATGCCGGCAGAGAGGGTGGCATCATTTACTTGGACTTTAGTAAAGCCTTTGATAGATTCCACTTGATATATTAAATAGTAAAGATTGATCACATGGGACCAGGGTGAGCTTGCTAATTGGATACAAAATTGGCTTTATGGTAGGAGACAGAGGGTGGAGTGGTGGATGGTTTTTCAGACAGGAGCCGTGACCAGCAGAATTCCACAGGGATTGGTAACTGGGTCCACTTTTGTTGGTCATTTATATAAATGACTTGGATGAGAATATAGGAGGCATGGTTAGTAAGTTTGCAGATGACACCAAAATTGGTGGCATAGTCGACAATGAAGGTTACCTGAGATTACAAAGAGATCTTGGTCAATTGGGTCAATGGGCTGAGGAGTGGCAGATGGAGCTTAATTTAGATAAATGCGAGTTATTGAATTTTGGTAAAATAAACAAGGGCAGCACTTATAGAATTAATGGTCGGGCCCTGGGTAGTGCTGCAGAACAGAGAGACCGAAGGTTTCAGACAATTGTTGATATTTGCATCACAGTTAGACAGGGTAGTTAAGAAAATGGTTAGCATGCTTGCCTTTGTTGCTCAGACCGTTGAGTTTAGACATCATGTTGAGGTTGTACGGGATGTTGGTGAGGCCTCTTCTGGAGTACTGAGCGCAGTTCTGGTCCCCAAGTTATAGGAAGGATGTTATTAAACTTGAGATGGTTCAGAAAAGATTTACCAGGAATGGGGGTTTTGAGTTATATATAAAAAAAATAGGCTGGGACTTTTTTTCACTGCGGCATAGAAGATTGAGGGTATGTTTGCCATGCAAAACTACGTACATTGTTAAAATTAATTAACTTGCCTCTTGTATGGGATGACAGAATGATGTAAAACTTCCCCACTGCTTCCCTTAAGCAACCAGGGACCAAGATTGTCATTCCTCTGAGATACTGAAGCATTTTTTGTTTGCAGCCATGTTGTGATGGTGTCCCTTTCGATTGCAGTAGTAATGGCTTACTGATGCGGAATCAAAATGACAATTTTGACCTTACAGAAGTGTATAATATTATGAGGGGCATGGATAAGGCGAATGGCAAAAAGGTCTTTTTCCAAAGGTTGGGAGGGGGGGGGGGTTCAAAACTTGGGGGCATTTCTTCAGGTGAGAGGAGAGATTCAAAATGACACAAGGGGCAACTCTTTTTTTTTTTAAGAAACACAATAGTAAATGAATAACAGTAAAATGTAGGGTATGCAAGGTAGTTTGATCCGAGTAGGATAATAGGTCAGCACAACATCGTGCGCCGATGGGCTTGTACCGTTCTATGCTCTAGAGTAGTTAGTATGTGAAATGAATGGCCAGAGGAAGCAGTGAATGCAGGTATAGTTACCTTTAAAAAGACATTTGGATAAGTACACAAATAGGAAAGGTTTGGAGGGAAATGGCCTAAATGTAGGCAAGTGGAATTAGTTTAGTTTAGGAACATGGTTAGCATGCACTAGTTGGACCAAAGGGTCTATTTCATGCTGTATGACTATGTCTATGACTACCACAATTTCATTAGAAAACAACTTATGTTTTTATTGCAGTATGTGCATTCAAAAATTGTCATTTTAATTCCGCATCAGTAAGCCATTACTACTGCAATCGAAAGGGACACCATCACAACAGTGGCTGCAAACAAAAAATGCTCCAGTATCTCAATGAGGAATGACAATCTTGGTCCCTGGTTGCTTAAGGGAAGCAGTGGGGAAGTTTTACATCATTCTGTCATCCCATACAAGAGACAAGTTAATTAATTTTAACAATGTACGTAGTTTTGCATGGCAAACAAACCTTCAAAAGCAAGGTTTCTTTAATGTCCCAATTAGCTCAGCATTAAACAAAACTAATAAACTTAATTGTTATAAATAGTGAAGTGATTTACCAAAGTAATTAGGTTTCTATTGCAACTTTAACTTCTAGATTAGCTTCTCCATCCAAGATAATAGTAATCAGTCTGCTGACTAAATGCATGCGTTATATTAAACAATTATTGCCACATAATAGAGACAAAGAAAACTGCAGTTTTTCATACAATGCAAATTGGGAATACTTTTTAATAAAGGAAACTCTCTCATGGGACACCAGGTTTAACTACCAACTTTCCAATTTCTGTACTTAATTAATGTAGATTGACAAAACCAAAGCTAAAAATGTATCCTTAAAAGGGTCATGATAATTTACCAAACACAAGATCAGTATAAATGTTATAAAGAAACGTCTATGTAATTCTCTAGTCGTAAGCTTCAGTGAATTAACATTAAAGTCAAAGTCAGTTCAAGTTGCTGCAACAGCTTTATTTATTTTTACCACATTTCAGTACAGATCAGAGAAATGTGAACATTGTGAAATAATACAAAAGCATACTGAAAGTAGTCAAAGCATGCTGTGTGAAAATATTAAATTGGGAGTGGTACCTCATGAAAGCACTATGACAAGCACCTATATGGTTACATGACTTATCAGTCATGTTTCAGCTTATAATTACTCCTAAGTAGCCATCACTTAAACAGTTGCATTTACAGCAAGCAAAGACCAGGGAAATGTTGAAAAATCCTGGACTAAATGACAGCCATATTGATGCACATTTTTAAAATTACTATTCAGTCACCTAAACAAGTTACAGTTCCCTGCACCAGTCCATTCGTTATTATAAAGCCATTAAGAGTGTTTACTAGTCCAGAGAGAGCTTGGAAAAACCCACAGCTAAATCAATTTATTTGAGCTACAGAATCGAACAAATATTTGTGTGGAGGACCAAGCTTCAATTAATTGAAGTCGAACACTACAATCCGATCCTCCCCAACTCCAAAAATTACATGATATGTTGGGACTATCAGAAGCTCAGTGAGAAGCTTTAACAGACAGTAAACATCCTTTAAAAACAAAAAGCAAAAGAAACCTTTGTCAAACCACTATTAAATTATCCCATGGTTTTAGTGACATGTAATGCTTCTTCATCTCCTCTCCAACCATCCTGATGACACCAACTCTTTTTGGAGTGGCGTTCCAGACATAGCTCTTTGGCAACTCATTCAAGATGTCATTCTTCATATGCAAGTCTTAATGATTAAATGTTTCATCATCGATCAAACAGCTCCAATCATGGACAGCAATCTAGTAGGCTTAACCCAACCCTCAAAAGACATTAACAGGTTTATTTTCTAGTAATGGATAGCGAATGATAGTCACAATTGGGAAACCTTGCCTCACACCCCTCTTATGACAGGACACAGTCAAATTCTTGCAGTTCAACTGCTGTTGTCGACAAGATCAACTCTGCTAACACGGAACATATCATACATCAAATATCTACTGGCCTGTAAAATTTATTGCTACACCCGGTGCTGTATTTACCCAAAAGGCCACTGGGAAAGCTAAAAATGCCAATTTGAAATAGCCAGAAGATTTAATGATTGAACCATACGTCAAAAAAAAGAAGTGTCTGCATAGAGCTGCATGAATTTAAACAAAAGTTGTTCTTGAAAATATTTGTAACTACTAGCTTAGGATAATACAAGTCTAGCGACATGATATGGCAGGTGCCAAACATCAAATCAAGAAACAAAAATGTAATTTTAACACTAAAAACAAATTCCATACCATTTTTTCTAAATAGTGTACCCTTAAGAGATTTTTAAAAAATATGAAAGCTGGGATGTACTGCATATACATAAAACAAACAGTCACATTATGAACATTACAATACAAACAAGCTTAATTTCTTATTTTAGAAAACACAAGTAAATGTTAAAGATGGACATGTTCAATGACAAAAAGCAGGGTACATCTGTTATGGTCATTCTATAACCTTTTCAGTGCATCATCAATGTCAGGAATCATTTCCTTCAGCTGATTCCATTGGTCTGGTAATAAGGAGATTCCTAAAATTTGGGTAGCGATGGTAGGGTAGGAAAAAAACAAAAGTCAGTGCATAAATGGCAAAGCTAAACAATGGTTACAAAACAACATTTTATAGATTTTTGAGACGTTCTTGCCAATCAAAACTTTTGCTCCTGAAGGTACTGAACTCCTCACAGGGTATCATTCCAAAGAAACCACTCACCATACAGTAACTTGTTTTAAGTGTCAATCTGGCTTGACATTTTGCTCCACATGAACCACTTCATCCAATAAGAGCGGGTCATTACCTTAAACATGCACTCCTATTCCTATCTTGCTAACAGATATCTAATAACCCCAACATAAATACCTTTCTTTCCAGGCTTCATTTCACCATCTTGGTTCATCCAATATTCTCTGACATCAATTAGAACTTTGCCTTTGAATTCACGCACACTGACATATCTCATCTTGCCAATCTGTCAATAAATATTGTTATGAAAGTCCATATCATTAGTAAGCTACAAAATTATATAATCAATGGACACACAGAATTCAGACTCAATAGGCTTAACAGAAATTAGAAGAGACATGTTTTAGTTGCAGAGGTCTACCATACCCCTGATACCTTGTACTACGTGTTACATTTGGAATATCTGGTATTTTAATGTTGAAATAAACTGCATATTTCATTTTTAAAATAAAATAGGCAATGGGCTTTCATTTTTAGCCACTATCGGAGTGTGCTTGGAGACGACAATGGAGATTTTCTTCTGAAGCAGTTCTCACTGAAGGAAATAAACGGTCAGAATATCTATCACTGGAGAAATTGTTTCTTTGTTTCGTACATCTGCTTCTTGGTGTGTACTACAACATTCATCTGCAGCTATTTATAGGGACCGTGTCATAAGGTCACTGATCTTAGTGCAGGTTTTTAGATCCCTGAAAGTGGAGTCGCAGGTAGACAGGATAATGTTTGATGTTCAGTTGCATCGAGTATAGGAGTTGGCAGGTCATGCTGCGACTATTCACAACAATGGTTAGGCTGCTTTTGGAATACTGCGTGCAATTCTGGTCTCCATGCTAAAGGAAGGATGTTGTGAAACTTGAAAGGGTACAGAAAAGATTTACAAGGATGTTGCCAGGGCTGGAGAGTTTGAGCTACAGGGAGAGGCTGAATAGGCTGGGGCTATTTTCCCTGGAGCATGAGGCCGAGAGGTGACCTAATAGAGGTTCATAAAATCATGGAGGGTGGATAGGGTAGATAGACAAGGTCTTTTCCCCGGGGTGGGCGAAGTCGAAAACCAGAGAGCATAGGTTTAAGGTGAGAGGGGAAAGATTTAAAAGGGATCCAAGGGGCAACTCTTAATGCAAAGGGTGGTGTGCGTATGGTGTGAGCTGCCAGAGCAAGTGGTGGAGGCTGGTACAATTACATTTAAAGGCATCTGGATTCGGTATATGAATAGGAAGGGTTTACAAGGGTATGAACCAAATGCTTGCAAGTGGGACTAGATTTATTTAGGATATCTGGTTGGCATGGACGAGTTGGACCAAAGGGTCTGTTTCCATGCTAGCAGCCCATACTAAAGTTTTCAGGATATGGGTTCATATCCCACCAATACGGCCAGTTGAACTTGAAATCAATTAATAAATCTGGAACACAAGACTAGTTTCAGTGATGATGCCATGAAACTATAATCCAGTGCTGTAAAAATCTAACTTGTTTAAGAGTGTCTTTTTGGGAAGGAAACCTGTCCTTACCTGATCTGGCCTGAGAGCCCAGACCCACAAATGTGGTCTACCCCAGAATACCCTCCGAAATGGCTTAGCAAGCCACTTGTTCAAGGGATTTAGAGATAAGCATATATTGGGGGGCCTTACCAAAGATGGTCCAAATAAAAATTTCAAAAAATGTGTTACTTATAAAACAAAGCACAGTTCAACCCATTAGATCATTTTTCAGAGACATTTTCTGTATTGCAGATGCATGTGGCCATCTCAGCAAACTCTATTCCAAACGCAAAATATTATATTTACAGAGATAGTAGGAACTGCAGATGCTGGAGAATCCGAGACAACAAGGTGCAGGGCTGGATGAACACAGCAGGCCAAGCAGCATCATAGGAGCAGAGAGGCTGACGTTTCGGGCCTAGACCCTTCATCAGAAAATTTATTTATAGCAGTGATTTCTTCTTAGATACTAGTAAAAAGATTTTAAAAACCATAACCATGGGTGAAAGCATACTTACAATCCTGACAGTAAAAGGAACTTTATTTTCCCCCTCCTTTAAGAATGAAAATATATGATTTGTTTTGTCCAATATCCCAGTGTAGCTTGTTCAATTACCTTCAAGATCAGGATGTATCTTTAATCAAAAAAGATCAGGATAGAGGGAAACACAAAACTCCACTCAGTTCAAAATCATAATTTCCAAAATATTGTATAAGTTAGTAATAGAAAAATGTTTATTTTTCTGTTCCTTTGCAGGTTGAGAGCGAGCATTCTAGCCTTTCACGTATAAGAAGGGCAGTACCATCATCCAAAAGCCACTGTATAATTATTCAGCATGTAAACCCAATCAATTGATTTTAAGAATGACAAAACAACAGAACAATCACTTCATTTTCATTGTTGTTTTGACAAACTGTGAACATATAAATGCATTATATTAAAATGGATACTTGGGTGGGCTTGTGTTTGATTCTCATAGACAAAACATTTTATGATTCACCTAAATTCCTATTAGAGATTATTGAGACTCTTAGCCTTCAGTGTTTAAAACACATTAAACATTGACTTCAAACTGCATCACTGTACTACAAAGGACATGAAAGCTCTATGCATAAATTTGTAAATTCATTAACACACAGTCAGCTACAAGGGATAACTTTATTTTGAGGGCTCCCAAAAGAGTTTGTTTCCATCTTCTGCCTGCTCCACAGCGAAGGCTTTCTAAGCAAACGGATTCACCGCAGACCTAATTCATATTTCGCCAAGGATCAAGCAAGGCTATGTCATCACACGATACCTCTTCTCAATTTTTCTTGCTAAAATGCTCCACTTCACCCTCAGCAAGCTCCTGACTGCAATGGAGCTGATCCTCACAACAAGCTGTTCAACCTCTATCACCTGCAGGCTCAATCAAAGATCAATGTATCTAATCATCTTTGAACAACACAATGCAGATAATGCTACGCACGGAGGCTAAGATCCAAGCCATTCTCAACACCTTTACCCATGGCGTGGGCCTTACAGTAAACATTTTAAGATTAGGTTCTCTATCAAACTACTCGTGTTGCACCACACTGCCTCCTCGTTCTGCTGAAGGAACAGCAATTATAGTTGTAAGTCAAGATGGTGTGTGTATGGAGGGAATTTACAGGGAATGGTGTTCCAATATATTTGCTGCCCTTGTCCTTCTAGACAGAAGTGGTTGTGTGTTTGCAAGGTGCTGTCTACGGATCTTTGGCAAATGTCTGCAGTGCATCTTGTAAACTGCGCACAGTGCTGCTACTGAGTGTCTGCGATGGAGTGACTGAATATTTGTGGATGTGGTCCCAAAATTAGTGTGCTGCTTTATCTAGATAGTGTCTAGATTCTTGAGTGTTGTCAGAGTTGCACCCATCCAAGCAAGTGGGGAGTATTCCACCACACTTCCGATTTGTTGGTGAGCAGGCTTTGGAGTCAGGTGGTGAGTTACTCACTGCAGTATTTCTAGCCTGTGACCTGATCTTGAAGCCACTCCAATTTTGCGAGGGCTCCTTGAGGCCTCACTCAGTCAAATGCAGCCTTGATGTTAAGGGCTGTGATTCCCATTACACTCTCAAATTCAGCTCTTATGTAAATGTTTGAACTAAAGCTGTATTGAGGTCAATAGCTGAGTGACCCTGGCGGAACCCAAACTCAGCATCAATGAGCAAGTTATTTAGAGCAGGTGCTTCTTGATAGCACTGTTGATGACCCCTTTGATTACTTTCCTGATGATGCAACATTGACTGATGGGGCAGTAATTGACCAGGCTATGTTTGTTTGCTTTGTATGTACTGGATATACCTGATCAATCTGCCGCTGGATATACCTGATCAATCTGCCGCCGGAGAACTAATTTTTAGTCTGCCGAAGAACACAATTACTGGAAACAGCAAATGCACATTCTATCAATAGTGCAGGAAATGATCTAAAATCAATTGCCTTGAATGACTCACATCTATACTAATTCAGTTATGTAAATATGCAAATAACAATCCTCATGGGTACTTGGGCAAATTAGTTACTATCTTGGTTACTGTATCTTAGAAAGCTTTTGAGGGGATTAACATTGCCTCCACCACAATGATTTCTAAGGTTAAAAAAATCAAGTCAGAGTTATACAGCATGGAAACAGACCCTTTGGTCCAACTTGCCCACGCTGACGAGATATCCTAAACTGATCCAGTCCCGCTTGTCAGCATTTGGCCGATATCACTCTAAACCTTAACTATTCATATACCCATCCAGATGTCTTTTAAATGTTGTCATTGTACCAGCCTCCACCACCTCCTTTCATACACGTACCACCCCCCGCATAAAAAAAGTTGCCCCTCATCTTTCCCCTCTCACCCTAAAATTGTGCCCTCTAGTTTCAGACTCTAACCTGGGAAAAAGACCTTCACACTATTCACCCTATCCATGCCCCTCATGATTTTATAAATCTCTATAAGGTCACCCCTCAGTCACCTCCACTCCAGGGAAAAAAGCACCAACCTATTGAGCCTCTCCCTATGGCTCAAGCTCTCGAATACCGATGAAGTCCTTGTAAATCTTTTCGGAACCCTAAGTTTATAGTGGAGATATGCATGACTAAACTCCCAACCAGAGTGATGGCAATCTTAAAAGAACAGTAGTAACGTAAAAACTTCTAAATTATTTCAAAACAAACCTTGCTCCTAAAAGAAAAAGATATGGATAAGACCAAGTTCTTGTGTACTCTGCCAGATCTGGCTTCTTCCCTCAAAACAAAAAAAGTGCCCCAAAGGTAAGCAGCAGTCAACTTCTGAGCAATCTCTTCATAATTATGTCCTGGAACCAAGAAGCAAAATGTTCCCTCTCCTTCCTAGATACAGCAAAAACTGCAGATGCTGGAGTCAGAGACAATACAGTGTGGAGCTGGAGGAACACAGAAGGCCAAGTAGCATCAGAAGAGCAGGAAAGTTGATGTTTCGAGTTGGGACCCTTCTTCAGAAATTTTCAACTTTCCAGCTCCTCTGCTGCTGCCTGGCCTGCTGCGTTCCTCCAGCTCCCTCTCCTTCCTGTCTACTCCAAACCTGATCTAAGCGAGTGGAAATATCAGCGTTTCACAGCATATACAAAACGCCACTCAGCAGAATTGATACAAGAAAATCAGTCCGACTGCAACAAATCAGTATTCAGAATAAAGCACAGATGCTGTATTGCTGACGAGTATAAACAGTTGTTCAATGAACTGTGCTGCAACAGAAAGAACGCACCTGAAATAGGTTATCATCTTTGTCACTCTTGGCACATTTTGCACCCCCAGAACTTTCTCCACTCTTTTGCTTTTTTACTGGTTTCTCTGCTGGAACGGACTTCTTTCTCTTAGCCTGTCAAATAAACGAAGAATGCGTCACAAATTAACTTTTAATTAAGATATAGAACAGACAATATGGACAGCGAGGATAAAGCAAAATACAGAAGTATTAGGTTTCTTGTTGCCAAAGATTATTATTTTGAGGTCTAAAGTTCTATCAATCCTTAAACTATCAACGTATTACAAAATAGTATTTGCACTACTAATTTAATCTTTTGTTACATTCATTTCAATCACAGTTATAGATTTCCAGATCGATTCAGAATTTTTCCAATTCTTAGCAGAATAATTATTCATCCATAATTTCAGAACACTAACTTCAGAATAGAGTACTACAGGCTGAATTTAGATCAGATTATTATCCAAATTCCTTTTTGCAAACAGAAATTAGCTGCAAAGATAACTGCTCTGTATTTGAATCACATACTTAATATATGCATAAAAAGACCATTTATTTACACTGTATTCAGTCTGGAATCAATGAGATCAGATGCATTTAATGTTGTTGCAAAATATAGCTGGTTATTCTGTAACTGTTCAAAGTTGTATGAAGTCACAGACAATGTACATTGACTCAAAAGAACAGAACACATTTATCAGATGAGAGGTGAAATTAAAGAATGCCTTGAATCTCTCAGTTGTCAGCAGGCATCGCCGTACGCCTCTGAAAATGTGTGCAACATTAAAATCCAGAAGATGCTCTTTTGTCCAGCACTATTGAAATCTCACCAAACTGCATTTTTTTTTGCTTTTTAAAATCATCTGAATTTTGTCTTGTTACAAAAACCTTTGAAAAGGTTATATTTTGTTGAATAATGTGCAACTGGGTTTTTGCAACTGTCAGAAGTTCACAATTACTTCAGAAAACCTCTGGACCTTTAAAATTAATTTTATTTTTGTGGAATGTAAATTTTCTCTATTATGATTAGAAATGTTGTCCTTCTTTAGAAGTTTGATGCTTTCGTCTGCTCTATATATTCTTTCAATCATTTATTACAGTCCATAAAATTTTCAATTAAAGAATTTAAAATTTCAAATGTTTTAAGTTCCCAGCTTGCTGATCAAGAAAATAATTCAGCATGTCTGCTTATCTTGTTTGATGATATTACTGTTGCAGGCTGTCAAAGATCCCCTTGACTTGGTGATACAACCAAACTGATGTCAAGAAAAGGGAAACTCATGCCTCAGAAAACACTTAAGGTTAAGGTCAATGGTGGCTGCCAATGACTGTGAAATCCAGACCCTTGTTTTCAAGTTATCAAGAAGGATGAGAAAATAGTTTTTAAATCAACCCTCCAGAATCCGGTGAAAAGCCACAAGTCCCTATTATTTATTTCAATAACTTTAGCCAACTGACATAGCTCACTTGCTGATGCCCTGCTGAAGTCAAGTATCATTTTCAAATTTAGTACAGCGGTGAAAAAAGTTTGGGGATATCTTACTGGGTAGAAAAGAGATTTTTTTCAATTGAAATTATCCTATTTTTATTCACAGTATTAACATTTAATGGGGTCTCAGTAATGGCACTTTAAATTCAAAAGATAGCTCAGAACCACTTTACTAAAGGATATGTGTTGATGCCTCCTTTATTATTCTAAAATCAAAAATGACTTGAAGGTTTCTTCTGTTAGATGTCTTTTAAACATGGAGATAGCCACAAATCAGCTTCATAAAACCATGCAGAAATCCTTTTAAACTAACATTCATCAGCAGCTTTTGCCTTACCTTTTGATCTACTTCACTATCTGATTCGCTGTCTGAACTTGTAGAAACAACTTCCCTTGACTTAGGCATCTGGGAATTTTTGTTAAAAAGAAAAGCAATTTTAAGTTACGTTTCCAAAAGATTGAAAGTTTCACTCAACCAAGAAAAAAAAAAAATTCTTCCACAATCATAAAAGGGCATTTTATAGAGACAAAATAAAAACCGAAAAGAACCACGGATGCTGGAAATCAGAAACAAAAACAGACATTGCTGGAAAGGCTCAGAAGATCTGGCAGCATCTTTGGAGAGAAATCAGAGTCAACGTTTTGGGTTCAGTGACCCTTCAAGCTGAAATCAACTGAGTAAACATTCTCTGGATTGCCTACAATACCAGTATATTTTTCCTAAAATAGGAGACCAAAGCTGTTCATAGTATTCCTGGAAGCACAGGAAACATTCATATGCCAGATCTTTTAAAATTACACCCTTGTATGGGAACCATGTGTGTAAGCACAAAAGTTCACGAGTCAGAAATTTGTAAATCAAGGACTCCTGCATAAGCAAAGTTAGCAGAACACATGCATTAATTTAACTCAGTTTGAAATTCTTATTCTACTTTTCAAATTGTGGATAAAACATCTAAATTCATCAAGAGGTCTCTGCTGCTAATGTTTATTCCATTTTCATACCCAACATAGAGTGACAGAGTCATACAACCTAGGTTGGAGCAAACTGACAGTTGCATCCCAGTATGTTACTTCTTTACAAAATAAGTACATCATTCCAATGTTATCTCAACTACACATGGAGGAAGTTTACCAAGTAAAAAACAGAAAGATTTATCAAGCTTGCGCTATTCCTGGTTCAACTAAGCATGAAAACGCTACAATTGCCTTTCTTAAATGGCACAGACTCATTCTTATCATCTTTAACATGGCTAACCCACCTAGCCAGCACAACCTTGGATACTACAGACAATTTACCATGGCTAATCCATCTAACCTGCATATCTTTGAACTCAGAGGAAACCTGAGCACCCGGAGAAAACCCCATAGACACAGGGAGAACGCGCAAACTCCACACAGACAGTAATCCAAGGCTGGAATCAAAGCCAGGTCCCCGATACTGTGATGCAGCAGTGCTAACCATTGAGCCACCATGCGCCCTAACCACTGAGCCACCACGCCTATAGTGCTGTGTTTCTAATCAGAACTAGAAGATACCGTTTTAAAATTCGGGGTTGCTCTTTTTGGAGAGAAATGGGGAAAAAAATTTCTCAGAGGATTGTGCGACTTTGAAACACTGTCTCAGAAAGTACTGAATGATTGGATCATAAAATAACTTTTAAAGCCAAGGTGATTAGATTCTCGTTAGGCAGGGGAATCAATGTTGTTGAGTATAGATGTGAACTCAGAATTCGAAACACAAGCAGATCTTAGTGAACAGCTCAGCAGGCTTGAGGAGCTAAATGGTCTACAACTGCAATTCTTTTGTACAGATGTTAGAACCTTGGATTAAAAACTTATAGATCTTTACATCATTTGTACAAATTCAGGAGCACCTCCAAGAGTTCATCCAGATTGTTAACAAAGATTATGAAAAACGACAGCACCCACATCAATCCCAGTCAGAATCTGCTCATCACTTAAGTCTACACAGAATACTATCATTAATCACAACAATCCGTCTATGAGATTGCAAAACAATTCATTTGGTATCTCAAAGAACTCTTAACATCAGACCACTATTTAAGTAGCTTTTGTGTCACAAAAGCTGGAGTGTCTACCTTGTCAAGACTCTTCTGGACCTTCTCTGTTTCAACATTCAGATCACTTCTCATTCTCCTAGACTCTGGAGTATAGGTCCCATTTACTCAATCTCATCACCTCGCTTCCCCAATCCCAGGAACCAATCAATTAAGCTTTCATAGTAGTTCACAAAGAAAATGTATCCTATAAATGGAGACTAAAGTACTCAGTACTCCAGCTATGATCGCCCTAAGGTCATTTAAAACAAAAGGGAAGGCTTTGATTTCCATACTTCAATCCTTTTGTGACAAAAGTGAACATGTCATTGAGCCTTCCTAATTACTTGTTGTACTGAAACATAATGTTCTTCGTACTGTACACTCAATAAGCCTTTTATTCATTTTATTAGGAAGAACCAAACTCTTCATACAGACTCCATTCTGATGAAGGGTCTAGGCCCAAAATGTCAGCGTTCCTGCTCATCCAGCTCTACACCTTGTTATCTCCATTTGTAATGTTGTTGTTTATTTACTTAGCCTGACTACATTGCTTCGCTTTAACTTACATTTTTTAATTCTTTCATGGGAGGTGGGCATCACTAGCCAGGCCCAATAATTAATGCCCTTTCCTAATTACCCAGAAGGAGTTGAGAGTAAACTGCATTGCTGTGGGTCTGGAGTGAAATGTAAGTCAGACCATTTTACAACAGCAGTTTCCTTCCATAGAGGACGAGTGAACTGGACAGGGTTCTCTTGACAATAGACAATAGACAATGATTTTGTGGCCACCATTAATTCCAGATTTTTATTAAATTCAAATACTATCTGTGACATAAGCAACAGCCTAGTGGTGCTGTTGCTGCACTGTTAATCCAGAGACCCAGGTAATGTTCTGGGGACCCAGGTTCAAATCCTGCCATGGCAGATGTTGGAATTTGACGTTAATAAAAATCTGGAATTCTTATGATGACCATGAATCCATTGTCAATTGTCAGAAAAACCCATCTGATTCACTAATGTCCTGTACAGCATCGTTACCTGGTCTGGCCTATGTGACTCCAGACCCACAGCCATGCAGTTAATTCTTAACTGCCCACTGGACAATAAATGCTGTCCTAGACAGTGGCACCCTCATCCCATGAACGAATTTTAAAAATCTGCCACAGTAGGATTTCATAGAGTCGTAGAGAGGTAAGCATGGAAACAGACCCTTCGGTCCAACTCATCCATGCCAAACAGATATTTTAAATTATTCTAGTCCCATTTGCCAGCATTTGGCCCATATCCCTCTAAACACTTCTTATTCATAAACCCATCTAGCTGCCTTTTAATTGTTGTAATTATACCAGCCCCTTCCACTTCCTCCGGCAGCTCATTCCATACACGCACCACCCTCTGCTGCCCCTTAGTTCCCTTTTAAATCTTTCCCCTCTCACCTTAATCCTACGCCCTCCAATTTTGGACTCCTCCATCCCAGGGAAAGACCTTATCAATTTACCCTATCCAGGTCACTCATGATTTTATAAGCCTCTAAGGTCACCACTCAGCCTCCGACACTCCAGGGAAAATAGCCACAGCCTATACAGCCTCTCCCTATAGCTCAAACCCTCCAGCCCTGGCAACATCCTTGTAAATCTTTTCTGAACCTTTTCAAGTTTCACAACATCTTTCCTGTAGCAAAGAAACCAGAATTGAACTCAGTATTCCACAAGGGACGTAACCAATGTCCCGTACAGCCACAACATGACCTCCCAATGCACTCCCAATACTCAATGCACTGACTAATAAAGGCAGCATACCAAACACGACCTTCACTATCCTAGCTACCTGCAACTCCACATTCAAGGAACTATGAACCTACACTCCAAGGTCTCTTTGTTCAGCAACATTTCCCAGAACCTTACCATTAAGGTATACAAGTCCTGCCCCGATTTGCCTTTCCTAAATGCAGCACTTCAGTTACCTAAATTAAACTCCACCTGCCACTTCTTGGCCCATTGGCCCATTTGATCAAGATCCCGTAGTACGCTGAGGTAACCTTCTTCACTCCACTACATCTCCAATTTTGGTGTCATCTGCAACCTTACTTACGTTCACAAAGAATCATAGAATCCCAATGGCCGGAAACAGGCCATTCGGCCCGAAAAGCCCACAATGACCCTCTGAACAGCATTCCACCCAGTCCCATCCTGCTACCTCTCTAACCCTGCATTTCCTAATGCACTAACTTACACATCCCTGAACACTATGGGTAACTTAGCATGGTCAATCCAATTACAGTCCAAAGATGCGGAAGTTGGGAGGAAACTGGAGCACCAGATGGAATCCCACGTAGACACAGGGAGAATGGGCAAACTCCACACAGACAGGGTGCTCAAGGCTGTAAGCAAACCAGTGTCCTTGGTGCTGTGAGGCAGCAGTGCTAACCACTCAGGCAACATGCCGTCCAAACCATTTGTATAAATGATGAAAGCAGTGGGCGCAGCACCGATCCTTGTGGCACACTGCTGGACACAAGCCTCCAGTCTGAAAAGCACTTTGCCGTCACCCTTCGTCTTCTACCTTCGAGCTAGTTCTCCCTCTATTCCATGTGATCTAACCTTGCTAACTAGTCCATCATGAGGAACCTTGTTGAATGCCTTCCTAAAGTCGATATAGATCACATCCATCACTCTGCCCTCATGAATCCTCATTGTTACTACTTCAAAAAAACTCAATTAAGTTAGTGAGACACAATTTTCCACACACAACGCCACGTTGACTATACTCTTCTAGGGATTCACTCGATCTCTGTTGTCTACACTTGATATTTGCTTTCTTCCAAACCCAAGTCTCTGGATTGACAGTCAAGTGATAACTACTGGACCACTGCTTTCAATGAGGTATCAGCAAACTTCAGATAAATTACTCAGTACTTTTTACAAGACATTAATATAGATTGCAAATAACTGAAGCCCATGAACGGATCCTTGTAGCCACACCATTAGTTAAAGGCTGCCAACTCAAACTGATTCACGAATACACAACAGCCCATGAATGAATGAAGATAAATCAAGTTTCTGGCTGTTGAAAAGAATGCTGGCCAGGGTATATAAAGAGCCCACTACTCTGAACAGTGCTACTAGACTTTTATATCCATGTCAATGCACACACAAGCCACATTTTGACATCTCTTGCAAAAGGCAGCACTTTTCGAATCCTGGGCAAATTCCCAGTCCTGTGCCGAGCTTGATTCATGCAGGGTGGTGCTGGAAACCCCCGGAACAACCTTCTGACGCAAATGTCATCGTGCCAAGGCCAAAGGACAAGAGCATGTGTGGCCAAGTCAAACAAACCAAGGCTGGAAAACCAACGTGATTGGCGGGGGCACACCGAGGCCCGTGCAATGCTTTTCGCATCGCCAATTAATGGGGCGAAAAAAATACGAGAAAAAAAATTGCCCGAGTAACCCCATTTAAACGTATTGCAATGTTTGTTTTAAAACAACTTACTTGCAAATTAAACGGTCAGATTTTCAAATTACAACTAGAAATTTTGCCTGCGACTTGACCAAAGCCTTTAATTTTAACTATCAGTTTTTTTTTAAAAAATGCTAATAGAAATTCTGCAGACTGATCATGAAGCAGGCAGCTGTGGTACAAATTTCACGGGGACGGATGCCCGGTTTTTGGTGATTGCTCTTTTTAAAATGATTTTTCGCGGACAACCTCGGTGTACTGTTCCTTTCCCTCAGGGGCGGGGGTGTTAAGGGGAAGCGGTGTGCCATGCTCCAGGCCTCCCACCCCAAGAGGGACGCGACGCACGCACTTGTTCCCAGGCAGGCGGAGGAAGTCCTGCCCCCCCACCCCCATTCCTCGCGCGCCCATTGGCCAATCCACCCAGCAACCCGACCCGCCGCGCTCCGCCATTGGCCGAGACCCAGTTTCTCATGACGAGGGAGCGCCCGCTTCCTCCTTCCGCCATCCCAACCATAAAAACGCAAGTTAATTATCTTTCCTTCACCACCTCCCCAGTACAAAAAAAAAGCAAAAATCCGCACCGCAACGAAAGAAAAAAATATATATACACCCGGAGGAAAGTGAAGCGAAGAAACGCATTGCTCCAAAAATAAATTATTTCGAGTCTCCCTATCTACCGACCGATGTTGATCGTTGAAAATACATACGTTGATAACGGGTTGTATTTAGATATCTATTTAGTCGATATGTGTTTCTATGCACAGCCTCAAGATCCGCTCACAGCTTCTCGGCTCCTGCTTCTTCCCAACCGTCACCGCTCGCGCACCCAGGGGACGCGTCACTTCCGCTTTTCGCACTAGGGCATGCTGGGGGTTGAAGTCCAGCTCACGTGTACCTGCACCAGAGGCTTACATGGTGAATGAATGCTGTAGGAACATAGGTAACTGGGCAAGGCCATTCAACCCCTCCAGCCTGTTCTATAATTCAGTCAGTCATTGTCATCCTTTGACAAAGGTCAACGCCCCCAACCTTTGTGTTACAAATATAAACCAAAAGGACAATGGATGTTGTAAAGGAACAAAAACAGAAGTTGCTAGAAAAACTCAGCAGCTTGGGCAGCATCTGTGAGGAAAAATCAGACTCAACATTTCAGGTTCGGTGACCCTTCCTCAGACCTGAAACATTAACTCTGATTTTTGGTCACCGAGGCAGCTAGACCTGCTGAGCTTTTCCAGCAACTTCTGTTTTTGTATTGCAAGTATGTTTGTTTTGGACCCAGCAGGTTTGGGTCAGCAAGTGGCAAGGAGCTCAATATGCAATACATATCTTTGCTTAACAAAAATAAAAAATTATCAATCTCAAGGACTGTGGGATTTAGGATCAGGATTAGACCCCCTAGACTTGCCATCCAGCCATCCCATACAAATCATGGCATGTCTGGTTATCACAAAGGGAAAACAAAAAACAGGAAAATAACACTAATACTGGATTATCAACGTATTGGAAAGTACACAAGACAAGCTGTACAAGTCGGCATCACTGGCAAGTTTTATTGGATTTTCAGTCTGGAATCTCACAATTCCACTAAATCTCTCTGAAAAAGATATAAAGCCACTATTCCCACTGCCTTCTGAGGAACACAGTACCTCTCAGTGAGCTTCCTCTCTGTGCGGATATATTCACCACCATTTCTGTCTTAATAGACAACACCTTATTTCCAAATAGTAACCCCACATTCTAGATTCTCCCACAGGGCGGGGGGACAGGAATGAGAAGTATCCTGTCTACATCTACCCTGCCAAGCAAGACAGTCAAGATACATTTCAATCAGGTCACCTTTTGTTCTTCTAAATTATGGCAGATTAAAGCATAACATATCCACCCTTTCTTAAAAGGCAACCTGACCACTCCAGCCATTAGTCTAGTAAACCTTCTACAAATTGCTTCCAATACATCTTTAAATAAATTTCCATGCTTTATGACTCTATAGTACTGCACAGTACTACAGATGTCATCTCACCACTAAACTATTTAAGTGAAGCATAACCTCCCTATCTGTGTCTCCAATTCCCCTCACAATCAATTACATTCTACTTGCTTTCCTATTTTGTACAAGCATACCAATGTTTTGCCATTCATATACTGGGACACCCAATCCTTCAGCATCTCACCACACTGCAATCTCCTACATTGTTCTTATCTTAAAATTCTTCAGACCAAAATGGACAATTGCACAATTTCCCACATTATACTCCATTTTCCTGATCTTTGTTCACTCACTTAACCTATCACAATTAACATTCCATCCAATCTTTATGTCATTAGCAAATTTGGCAACCAACCTATCGCTTCATTTAAGTCATTTATGTACATTGTAGCCAATTGAGGCACCAGCACTTGTCCCTGAGACACACAACTCGTTACGTATTCAGAGAAGGCTAGAGAAACTCAGCAGGTCTGTTAGCATCTGTGGAGAGAAAACACAAGTTCAGTTCTGATCAAGAGTCATACCATACTAGCTGGTGACTCATGGAGTTCTGCAATTAGCAATGATTTTGTGGTGATCAGCAGATTCTTAATTCCAGACTTTTTTCTTAATTATTGAATTCAAATTCCACCATCTGCCTTGGTGGGATTCAAACTTGGGTCCCCAGAACATAGCTGGGTTTCTGGATTATTAGTGTAGTGATAATACCATTCGGCCATCGCCTACACAATACCACCAGGCCTTTGCCTTCCCTAGTGAAGGGACAACCCTCTAGAAATGAGATAGAGTATTTCTTCAATCAGAGGGGATGAACCTGTGGAACTTATTCCTACAAGAGGCTGTGGAGGCTGTGTCAATGAGTATCTTTTAAGGTAGATACAGACAGGTTCTTGAATTACTAAGGGAATCCAGAGTTATGGGGACCAAGCAGTAGAATGGGTTTGAGAAACATGAGTGGCTATGATCGATTGGTGGAATGGACTCAATGGGCTGAATGGCCTAATTATACTCCTATATACTCCTGGTCTTATTCTTTCAGGGACTTGACAGGGCAGAAAGTCTATGGGAAAGTCTGGGGCCAGAATCTCAGATTAAGGGGTCACACATTTAACAGAGATAAGGAGGAATTTCTTCTCAAAGTGGGGACCAAACCTGTGGAATTCTTTACTGCAGACAGCAAATCAGATCTACTATGATGTCATTTAATGGTGCAGCAGACTTGATGGGCTGAATTGCCTACTTCTGTTCCTACAACTTACAGTCTTATAATCTAAGTAATATGTCATGGATAAAGGGACACTGATTTTTACTGATTTACCTTGCTTAGGTTTTAGAAGACATGATAAGGCACCTTATAAAGTATTATTGCTGAAAATAAAGGCTCAAATTCTAGGATATTAGAAAGAGCAGAAAATTGACAAGCTAATAAAATGCAGAGCGTGGGCACAAATGGGTCATTTTCTATTCCTCCATTATCATGAAGTGCTTCAAGGCACTGGTTACAGCCCAAATCAACTCTAACCTCCAAGTTTGCCTCAATCTTCTGCAATTTGTCTACCAAAGAAACAGAAGATGCTATTTCTCTAGCCCTACACTAAGGTTTGGAACATCTTGATAACAAAGACACCTACATTAAACTCCTATTGATCGGTTACAGCTGCGCCTTCAACACCATAATCCCCTCCAGACTAATCTCAAAACTCCAAGACCTAGGTCTCAGCTCCACCCTCTGCAACTGGATTCTCAGCTTCCTGATCCATAGACCGCAATCAATGAAGATAGACAACAGCATCTCCTCCACAATAACACTCAAAACTGGTGCCCCGCACAGATGCGTTCTCAGCCCCCTCCCTGTACACTCATGACTGTGTAGCCAAATTCTGACCAAACACCATCTACAAGTTTGCTGATGATACCATCATGGTAGGACAGATATCAAACAATGATTAGTGAGAATATAGAAAAGAGGTAGAGGGCTTGGTGTCATGGTGCAATGATAACAATCTCTCTCTCTCAATGTTAGCAAAACAAAAGAACTGATCATTGATTTCAGGAGGGAAGGAGGAGGATACGCCTCCATCGACATCAACAGAACTGAAGTAGAGAGAGTCGAGAGCATCAAGTTCCTGGGAGTGACGATAACCAACAATCTGTCCCAGACTTCCTATGTAGATGCGACAGTCAAGAAGGCACACCTGTTCTTCTTCAAGCGGCTTAGGAAATTCGGCATGTCCATAAGGACCCTCACCAACTTTTACAGATGCACCATAGAAAGCATTCCCTCCGGGTGCATAACAGCCTAGTATGGCAACTGCTCTGCCCAGGACCGTAAGAAACTACAGAAAGTTGTGTGCACAGCCCAGACCATCCATGGACTCCATTTATATTTCTTGTTGTCATGGAAAGGGTGCCAACATCATTGAAGACCCCTCCCACCCTAGTATTGCTCTCTTCCGTCAGGCAGAAGATACAGAAGCTTGAACACCGGTTCAAGAACAGCTTCTTCCCCACTGTTAATAGACTGCTGAATGGACTCTGTAACTTCAAATAATGTCGATCTTACTAATGTTGATCCTGCTTTGTGTACCTCCTGTGTAGTTGAAACCTGTATGCCTCACTCTAAGCACCCTACGATCTGTATGTTTGCTATGAGCTGCCTATACTGCTTGTAAAAAAGCTTTTCGCTGTACTTAGATATGTGTGACTACAATAAATCAAATGGATTCAAATCAAATTTGGTAAGACTTGAAGAATAAGGGCAAAATACTGTGGATGTTGGAAGTCTCAAACACATAGGTTTCTCCAGCATTATCACTATCAGTCTAGCAGCATCTGTGGTCAGAGAAACAGGCTTAACATTTCCACACTCTCTGCCATATTCCAGTCAGCCAATCCTCTATCCATGCCAGTGCCTTATCCATAATACCATGACATCTTATTTAGCAGCCTCTTGAGTGGCACCTTGTCAAGGACCTCCTGAAAATCCAAAAAGACCAGGTCTATTGGCTCTCCTTTGTCTAACTTACTCGTTACTGGCTCAAAAAATTCTAACAGATTTTTTTGTCAGGACTGACTTCCACTTGATAAAGGCACGCTGACTCCGCCCTATTTTATCATGCACTTCCAAGTATTCTGCAATCTCATCCTTCACAACGGACTCTAAAATCTTACCAATGACAGAGGATGTGGCTATCCGGCTATAGTTTCCTGTCTTCTGCCTCCCTGCCTTCTGAAAGAGGGCTGTTACATTAGCCATGTTCCAGTCCTCTATGACCCTCCCTGACTCCATTGATTCCTGAAAGATCACCGCGATTGACCCCACAGCCTTTAAGTTGGGATGTAATGCACCTGATCTGGCTAATTTATCCACATT